GTCGTGTTTCAAAATCTCATAGCTTGAAACCTCAACGTCTTTTCTGCCAGAGATAAAATTATGTTGCACCTCACTCTATTTTCAATATTTAGACTGAATTCGGGACCGTTTTCATAATACATATATGCAACTATGGTGTTTGACATATTCATCCACTTTTCTCTCTATTTACAGGTAGTAGATACTAATATTTATACTCATTCTAATCTGAAGCCAGTTTAGGATTTTTTTTTTACCATAAAAGGTAAATTTTTTAAATGATATCAAATACCTTTGCAAAGACCTGGACAATTTGCTTCCTAAGTAATTTTACGAGCAGGGTTACCATGTATCGGGCACTTACTACATGTTAGGTGATATTTAGTATGCTCCCATGGATTATGTCATTAAGCCTCATAATAGCTTCATAATAATAATAGCATTATTACTATAATTTTTACTAATAAGGAAACTCTGGCATGGAGAGATTAGGTAACTTTCTCATAATATCTTTTAGGAACAGCAGCTCTAGGATTTAGACCAGGCAATCTGGCTACAGAGCTAAGACAGGCATTCTGCCTCCTGTCGCCTGGCAATGAGGCATTTTTATATTTCCTAAAGGACAAGTGACAAAATACACAAAGCATCTGCTACACTGCCTGGAATATGTTAAGATATTCAATAAATATCAGCTCCCTTATTGATAAATATAAGGGGCGCCTGGGTGGCTCAGTCGATTGAGCATCCGACTTCAGCTCAGGTCACGATCTCGTGGTTCGTGGGTTCGAGCCCTGCATCAGGCTCTGTGCTCATGGCTCAGAACCTGAAGCCTGCTTTCAGACTCTGTCTCCCTCTCTCTCTCTGCCCATCCCCTGCTGGTGCTCTGCCTCTCTCTGCCTCTCAAAGATAAATAAACATTAGAAAGTTTTTAATTGAACATAAAAGCAACCAGCGTAGTGCCCGGCATGTAGGAAGGTATTCCTTATTCTCACACTAGTTCAGTATTTTCTGATTTTATATATATATATAATATCTTATATATATATAAATTTATATATTTATATAAAATTTTATAAAATTTTATATTATAAAATAAATTTATATATTATATAAATATAATATTTTATATATATATAATATATATAATATGTTATATATATGTTATATATATATGTTATATATATATAACATATATATATTTTTCCCTCATCGGTATGACTTTATCATTCTGCAGGTATCAGAATAGCACCCTGAGTTTCTCCCACTCTTTCTGTTTCAAAATAAGTTTTCAAAACAAGTCCTATTTCATCCTCTCAATGATATTTAATGTTTTGAATAATTACATAAGGTAAGCGGTCAGAAGTAACCAGGTTGAGACAGATCGCTGGACATTCCTGCGGCTCTGTAAACACATGGTGCCCTCTTAGTGACAGCACACTTTATATCCAGGAATGTTTACAAGCACTTCAGTCTGGGAAGCCACTTAAAGAAACAGGTGGGTGATGTCATTTAGGGAGCACACAGACTGCTTGTCCCCATTTCGTGTACTAAGATTCTCAATCTATCCAGCACTTATACTCACAAATGCCCCCTTCTGCTGAGAGTAAGGGGAGACACAATGGTTCTAGCGCTGGGCTTAGCTTGGCAATGAATTTGTTTCAGGTCACTTAAAAGGAAAAAGAGAGAGACAGAGCGGGAGGGAGAGAGAGAAAAGAATCCTTTGTGGTGTTTTATGAAAGAAACACAGATCCGCAAACGGAGATTCATAAAGGAAGCTCAGAGCCAAAGACCAGAGAGCAAAAACAAAACAAAGCAAAACAAAAACTCTGATTTTGTAACTGGGGCTTCAGTAGGAAGAGTTTGCTGAGCTAAGTCAGGAAGAAGAGGCTGGAATGGGAGGTCCAGAATCTAGGCAGCCCAGGATGTTACAATGTTACAGGTGCCCCCGGTAGGACACGATCTGTGCTACAAAGCCCAGGGTTTGCTGAGGTTGCTTATTCTGAGCAAAGAATAGGAACCCATGACACCAAGGGCTTGGGACCTATTAGAGCCATTATTGTGGAAGAGATAATTCTGCCGAACATCTGCAGCCCCAATAGTGTGCAATTCAATATTCAGTTAATTGTATAAAAATGTGGACGCTATGAAACATAGCCATGTATGTATCACGTATCAGCCACACATATCATATGAAAGTTAAAGAAGCCTTTCCCCCTAAAAATTTCCCTCCAACAGATGTGTTTATGCCTCTGCATAGAATACAGCACACAGCGGGGCTGAGAGGCCGTTATCTCAGCATTACATCTCCCCCCCCAGTCGTGAAGTGATGTTATAACGTCCCAAGAGAGGCCGGGCGGTTGCATGTGTGTCATGTAGCACACGCAGTTGCAGTGGCCGGTTTAAGAAAGGGATGAAATGTGGGACTGGCGGACTGTTGATGCAGGAGCTATTTAACATATGGGTGTGCTCCTAGGTCCTCCCCTGGGCTGCCACCTCAAAAGGCAACACTGTAGTGATGGCACCATTGTGCTTTTGAGGACACCTGGAGAACTTGAGCGCAAAGGAAATTGATAAAGACCCGTGAGTTTCTCCCACAAACCATTACGGCTATCGGTTATTTATTCCCCCGAGATAAGGAAATGTACACCGGCACGCACCATTGTAAGGAAAACGGCAAGGAGAGAAACAAACGCTGATTTCAAAGCAACGCTATTAATGCCACATGCTTTTTACAGAAGGCCGGTTTCAAGTTGACCATTCTTTTCCAATCAAATGAAGAATCGGTATTCTTAAGTGCTGTATATGATTTATATGACTTATTACCTCCTCCAAGGTACCCTGGAGGTCTTCCCCAAAGATGACGACTACCTGATGGACAAGAGAGATAAATATACTAAAAAACTAACCTTGAGCCAAGTTTACCTCAATTTTTCAGGAAGATAATAGAGAGAATGTCACTTAAAGATGCCAATCTATCTGGTTTAGAGGGAATCGCGGTGTGGGCTGGAAAGCAGAATGAGAGCCACCGAGGAAGTTCTGGAACTCTGTGTCAAAGGAGAACATTAGGTAGTACAACACAGCTGTCTACCTAGTAGATAAGATCTGTAAGACACAGAAATGCCTGCTGGCTCTTAAATCTCTCCCCCAGGGAACTACCTGATAATCTGAAATGTCTATGTTAAGGCACTGCTGCTATAAACCCTTGACAAAATGCAAACCTGTTACCTAAGAGGGGTGCCGCTTCAAACCAATGCCCCTGCTTAATTCATCAGACCACCTACAGAGGACCACAGAAACGTGAAGGCAGAGTTCACAGGCAGGACAGGGGAAGACCTAAGGCCTCCACAAATAACTCTACAACTTTACGGTTCTGGTTACATCTAAGGTCCCTTTAATTTACCACGATGACTTTTGAAAGGACAGTAGATAAAGTCACTTAGGGAGGTTGCTAATTGGGCTCCTCATTTCAGACCTCGTCTCCAAAACACAGGGTAAAAGTAAAGAAAATTTCAATATACCCTCATGAAGTAATTAAGGTGAATCTGATCAGCAGTATCTTATTATACAAGCATGCCCAGGAATGGTCAGGGGCCAAACAATTACTCTTTGTTCAATTTCTGTTTTGCTCAAGACTTGCAGAAGGTCCCTGCCAATAAGTCAGGTTCTGAAATGCTATCAGTGATGCCAGTGAGAAGATGAAGCAAATATTGTTTTCTTCCTACAAGGAACAAATATTTCTCCTTATCTTCTCAGCCACAGTATTACCAAGTGCTATTGACTTAATTCTTTAGAAGTGCTTTATAAGATATGCTGAGGGATGCTTTAAGTGACTTCATGAATCCGGATCAGTTAACAACTGGGAATGGACGAGATAGGGGGATTAAAAAAAAAAAAAAAAAAAAGACCGTATACTTCTCCCTCTTCTCTCCTTTTTAAAGTATCTTCCTCAATCACTCATAAGCAATTATTTATGCGGGATGCTTGCTCTATTCAAGACAATATTATCTAAAGGATCAGCTCTTTCTTGGCAAATCTAAGGTGCAACTGTCATTCGCATCCGTGTTCTGATTACCAACGACAAGATTTGTCTCCAGAAAGCCTCATTCTATTATACAACCAGTAAGCAACTGGGTTCAACATTTTAGATAAACTTTTGCTGTTTGGAACCTCTTGGGAGCATAAATTAGCCACACTTATCAAGGAGGTCTTGAAAATCAGAACTGCTGAACTGGAAGTTTGAGAACTTATTTGGAGCAGACCCGGTTCCTGGCACTGGCTCTATTTTACCTGCTTCGCTGACCACTAGGAATCCCTCTCAACTGCTGTGAGTTCCAGTATCTCAGGGCAGAATCAGGGTGGACGTCCGCACACACCGCGACCCTACTAGCCGCGCCCCCGCGCCCGAGGCCTCTGTCTCTCGACCCCCCCCCCCCGGCTCTGGCCAACCTGGCGCGCCCAGCGGAGGCCCGTTCCCGCTTTTCTCGCTAGAGGGCAGGCGGGGCCCGTGCAAAGCCCTCGCGGCGCCGGACGAGCGCGCAGGCAGCTCGGTTCCCGCACTCCGGTCCGGCTCCCGGGCTGGGCTCAGCTGCGGGGCGCTCGGAAAACCAGGGAGTGCGACGCGCCGCGGACCCCGGGGGAGCGCGGGCCGCGGCCGCCGTCCCCAGCCGTACGCGCGGGGTGCGCACGTCCGGGTGGGGCTGCGCGCCCAGGTGAGGGGCGGCCCCGCCGACGCCCGGGAGCAGCGCCAGGCGCCCAGAGCGCAGGGCGCGGGCGGGCGAGGGAGAGGCGACGCCAGAGGAGTGGAAGGCGGAGGAAGAGGCTCGCGGCGCCGGGCCGTGCTGCGCACTCACCTGGGCTCGGGCCGCCCGCCGCGAGCGCGGGCTTCTTGCCGGAGCCTCGGTCCTTCTTGCCCTTCCGCTTGCCTCTGCCTTCTCTGCGCTCCGACATCTCGCCCGAGAAATGCACGCTCTACGCGGACGGCTCCCGGCGAAGGCGACGCGCCCCAAGTTTGGTCCGAGGGCTCAGATCGGGTTTGGGAAAAGTTTGTCCCTCGAGGGGGGAGAGCGCGCGCGGCACGGCTGAGGCTCTCGCGGTGCGCGGGGGCGTCTCCTGGCGCCCCGCGGGGGGCGACGCGGACGCCGCGTGCGGTCCCGGCCACCTGAGGCTGGCGGTCGCCCTCGCTCCCGGGGCTGCTCGCGTCGCTCAGGGAAGTCCTCGGTTCCCGCCGCGCCGGGTCCAGCCGCTGTCGGCTCCGGGGGTGGCGTCCGTGCGGCGCGCTCGCAGCCCGACGAGGGAGAGGCGGTCACCGTCCTGCCCCGCGCTCGCTTCGCCCAGGCAGCCGCCGCCTCTCCGCTCCTGCCGTCCGCGCGAGCCCGGAGTTCCGACAAGTTTTGGGGAACTCCTCGCCGGCCCTTTTTCAATTGCCCCACAGCCAGCCACCTCCCGCCCGCAGGTTGGAGGCTGGCGCCTCCTTCTCCCCCTCCCCTGGCCTCGCCCCCTCCCTCTTCCCCACCACACCCCCACCCGGAGGCGCGGACACGCCACCGGGAGGAGCCTGGGCTCGGCGCTCCCGGGCGCAGCCCCTTTCGCTCCCCGAGCCTGGCCGGGCGGGGGGCGGCGGCGCGCCGAGCTGCTGCCGGGAACCCCCGACAGGGGTCGCTGGAAGCCGCGCGGAGACGCCGCCGCCGCCGCCGCCGCGGTCGCGGGAACCAAACCCAGTGGCCCCGGGAGATTCAAAGACGGAGAGAAAGGGGCCCACGGGCTCCTCGCTCTCCTTCGCTGCCAGGCAGCCCCGAAGGGCCGGTCCGTGCCCACCCATGCGGAGAGACGTTGGAGAAAAAAGTTTGGAACTCTGACACCTGCCCCCCCAAAATAAGGCTCTGTGCAACCCTCGGGAAGGAGCGGAGCTGCTGCTGTAGCCGCAGGAGTGTGGAGTGCATGCCTTTCTCACTTCAGTGCAAGTCCCACGCGCACGCAGGGCAAAGCCAAAGTGTGTGTGCAAGGGAATCTGAGTGTGAGTGCTCCGGGTACCCAGGTAGGGCCGAGAACCTTAGAGATGGTCTGATCGCACTGTCTTCCTGGATCTGCTTCCTGAAGGCGCGAGTCCCCTGCCTTCACGTGTGTAACAACGTGCCTGCCGCCTGCCGTGATTCTCATCTTTAGTGTTTCACAAAATAAATAATAATAATCTAGCCTAAACTGTATCTCTCCCTCCAACTTAATTTTCAAAGGAACCGCTAAAACCCTGGTTAAAAGACGACCAACAATAAAGTTACTACAGTGGCCGAGGGTCACTCAGGTCTGCAGAGGGGGACAGCGAATGGGGAGAGGCAGAGTTGGGAAGACAGTCCTAGAGATCTTCCATTCATTGACGCCAGCTCTCTCAGACTCCAACTTTCCTCGGGACTGCGGTCAACTACTTCTTCCCTTGCCCTCCCTCTGGTGGAGAATTCTAAAGAGCAGTGAAATCAAGAAAACATTGGCACCCTGCTGCAAAGGACACAAGTTAAAGGCCAGGGTAATCCACACGCGGAATGATCCAGAATCATGTAAAGATCATGTCCTGCTAGTCATATCATAGCTGTGGCTAACGTAGAATGTTAATTTACAGCGATGGACCCCTGTTGTGGTCAGGAAGAGGTGAGTATGAACAACCATGTGTGAAAGGGACTTCCTCCTCTTTACAGGTGACTTGCTCCTGATTTTCCATTCTCTAGGGCCCATGCTCACTGAACCATTCATTACCCGCATACAGCCTTCTCCTCTGTACTGTAATTGCCACCATTTAAATAAAGGTGACATATGGGAAGGGGAGGGCAAAACCATTCATTTTAAATCAGTCCTAAAATAAGAATGATTTTATTCTCGTTTAATTTGCAGGGCAGTGAGAACTAAGAGATACCTTAGCAGTACTGCCATCGTTATTTACTTTGAAAAAGTTTGATGTCCAAATGTCTTCAGATCACCCTTCATCAAATACCAAATATAAGCTTTACTAGGCCATAAAAACAGCAAAACCAGGGGAAAGGTTATGAATATACCTGAATAGCACTGTAATATTCCACAGAGTCTAATGTAAAATGAGATCTGAATGTTGCCTGAAATAGCTCTGTCTTCCCAGGAGGGGCCACTGCTTAACAAGCAGGAAGCAGCAAAATTCAGAAAGGGGGAGACCTTTCCACAAAGATACTTTATCTCCAGGACAAGAGACCCTTTATAGCCTTAGTATAGCATACAGTAGATAAATGTTATCAACTATATCATTATTTTAGAATTGAGGACTATCAAGCAAACATGTACTTTGGAATAAAAAGTTTCAGGTCCTTCCAAACAAAACAGGCAGGCATGAATAAAACCCATACCTATGGAAATACTATAATTCATTTTAGAATGGATTTGTTTTGGACCTAGATGTTTTACTTCTCAAAACAGCTTATTAATTCCTTATTATAGGAATTCTTCAGTGAGGATAACGGAAGATCCTACAGTTTTGTGATAATTTTCCATTTGAACAAATCTATAGTACTAGTTGACAGTTTTCCCCAACTAAGCATGAAGGATCCAGAAAAGACCGCTGACATTGCGGCGTCTTTATAATAAAACATAGAGGTCGCTAAGTCATTGCATGATTCCTATGGAAATACTCAGGCCTGGGGAATGAGTGAATATGAAAGAAGGAAGCTGTGTATAGGTGAGCATTCGGTCACTGTTCTCTTTTGGTTTGATGTGCTAGAGAGAGAGAGAGAGAAAAAAAAAAAAAGAAGACAGAATTTGAAATGATAAATGTTGAAAAAAAGAACATCTGAGAAAGATGATGAAGGAGCAGCTGGATGACAGGACTTCCTGGACCTTTATTTGGATTCTGGAGTCATATTTTAGTTGTCGATTGCAGCTGAAGTGTCAGAAATTTATGACAAAGTTCAAAATTTTTTTCTATTAATAGATCATTTAAATACATCTATATCTTTTATGTTATTTAATGTTAACTTTTCAAGGGTTGTTTTATTCCATTATTTATGATTAGGTAAAAGAATAACCAAATAAATGTCCATTTCTTCAAAAATGAAAACACTTACGAGATTTTTCAAGGGCTTGAGATTGTCCTTAAATTATTCATCATTATTCATTATGGTCAGAAAGTGGCCAATGATTTTGAGGTTTTGGGTTTTTCTTCCACTTTTTAAAAAACTTGGAAATGATCAGAAAAAGGGATGAGAAAGGAAGAAGAGTGTTTTTGCTTCCTTGAAAACCAAAATATGAACCTGAATTATGTAATTTAGAAATGATGACATATCTTCATGGTATAATTTTCCTAATTTGTTGTGTATTGTTTAGCTTTTAGAGTATGTATCATAGAGGGTATGTCAGCTCTCAGGTAACATATGTCAATCTGTCAACATTTGTAAACTCCTGAAAAATGCATAGGTGATTTATAAATAAGCAACTTGAGAAATAAAGACAAAATGGAGATCTTATATTAAATGACAGCTTAGAATAAGTGGAATCCAGTACCAGAACATTTTTCTTTGGCAAGGCTTACCTTTTAAAGCACTCTTAGAATCTACAAAGCTGGCCAAATGTGCCCTTTATCTCAGTAATTTCCATTTGGAAAATACCCCCAGAAAAATTTTAAAGGAGAAAATATAAATAAAATGAAAGAACATTAACATATGAAGATAGATTGCATTTTTTTGGCAAAATATTATGCCTACTGACAAAAATGGGAATTTAATTTAGAATTCTGCAAATACTTTTAACTCTTTAAATGTAAAGTAACTTAATTACTTTTTTAAAAAACTTTGCAACCAAGTTGGCATTAATGAAGATGCATGAATGTGAAAGAAAATCTCACTCACTCCTCAGAGCCAACTCCAAAACGATCACTAAATGTGCATGACTTATTCATTCATTCACCAAGCATTTACTGAACTAAATGCTAGATAGTAATTTAAAAAATGCCCCTACCCTCATGAAGTTAAAATACTGAGAAAGGCATAAAAGCAAATTAATTATTATAATACAAATGAAAAAGTAGGCCAGATAAGTTTTCCAGGGCCTGAAGCTCATAAAATTTGAGAGCAATTTTTAAAGGGAAAAAAACCCCACTAAATTAAAAATGTAAATTTAAGTCCAGAACACTAGACCCTTGGATGTGAGAAATCTTAAAAAGTGATTACAGATATAGTCCACCTTCTGCACAATTATAGTAACGCTAAATGGCAATTGCATACACTTTCAGACATTAGATAATACTATCCCTATAAAGAGGAGACATTAATAAGCAATCAAAAGGAATACACATGAAACTGAAACAAGCAAAGATTATCCTGTGAGGAAAATGAGATGAAAGGAGCCTTAAGAATCCACAGATTGGCAATTGTCCTGTATGTTTGGTTAGACTCTTAGAATCAACATGCAAGTTGAGTTTGTTAAACAAAGGACTTCTGACCCACCAAATGTCCTGGTGAGACTGGAAAGGTGTCCTCCATTACATTTGGCAAATATTTGACAAAACTGCTCATGAATCATATTCTGCCTGCTGGTAAGAGAAGCAGTTTGATAACAGAACTGTGAGTTTAGAATCTCATCCAAAAAAACAAACAAAAAACCCAAAAAGTTACGGGTCAAGCAACATTAAATAGAAACTACATTCACATTCTTTTGCTTATTATGTGATCTTTTAAAATTACTATACATGGATGATTACTGGTGTTATTTATCATTATTATTACTGATAATATGCTCGTGGTTATCATAATACATCATATATTAACATGGACTATATAGCTGAATATTAGTGCCTAAATTTCTTTGTATGGACTCTATTTGATAAATAAGGCCAGTGTCATAAATCTCTTCTTTAATAAGGTGGAGATAGAAGACTTCATGGTTTTTGAAACATTTTAATTTTTTTAAAGAACAAAGTCTCATGCAACTTTTTGATTTCTCTTCCTTACCTCCACAGTAATTATTTATGTCTATCTCCCACAGTTCCCTTGAAGCTTAATTCAGGTGTGCATGTGATACAAATACATAAAATTTATATGTACATATATGTATTCATATACATATACAGACATACAGTTGTGAGTACACATACGTATGTGGGTATGCAGTTATTATTTCTCTTTCCACCAATGAGAAACATTGTATTTGAATGTGAGCTTATAAAAGAGATTATATATCCTTTTGTACATTTTTTTCATATTGCTATCCGTTACATTCCCAGCACCATGCTTTTCATCCGGTAAGCACTGAATAGTTTTGCATAGAATGAATTAAAAAAAAACAGAATGCATTAAAAAAGCCTGGTACTGCTATTACCATTTTCTATCAATCAGTTACTCATTACCTTCCCTGACAATCATCTTTGATGCCTTTTCTGCATCCAACCCACCCCCATGTGCTGCCATTTTGACTTCAGTCTCTTTTTATCCCTCTTCAATAAGTACTGCCCAAATCCACACCTTCATCCTTTCTTTGCTTTGACCCTAGTAAAGCCTTTCTACCTGGACTCTTGCTCCCTCTAGGTATTTTGCCAAATACAGTAGTCAGAGAAGTCTTTTGGAAATGCAAATTTAGCCCAGTCACCCTTGGCTTCCCAGAATCCCTTTGTACTTGCTGTTTCCTCTGCCTGAATTTTTCCACAACCAACTCACTTTGCCTAATATCACTTATCTCTCAGGCTTCAACTGAATTTCACTTGCTTGGAAAAGCTGTCCACTGCCTTTGAAAACTGTTTTAATCTCCTATCACACTTTTGTATCTCCTTCATAACATTTCTTCTTGTCTATTATTATATCATTGTTTTTTGTGATT